AGGCATTTGTTGCATCCAGTGGGGACATAATTACTGATTATAATGACTTATATTGTCTTTTACGCATTGCGTTGCATATCGTGCCGCCTAAACATAAAACCATGTCTGCATTTGTGATCGGAGAAATGACAAACAACAAGTGCTACTCTACACTGCTCAAAACTCGCGTTTGAATCATCAGTGGCAAATTATTTAAATATGTAAACGTACTTACAGTCTGTGAGTCAGAACATTGTAGTCTACTCTCCCAGGATCAGGAAACAGTCCTCCATAAAATGTGCTGCACACATCTGAATATTTGGGTTGAAGTGTTCTGGAACAGTGTTGTAAATACAACTTAACCACTGATTTCTAGTTGTGTCTAGGGATGGGTGTATCGATCCAAAGTATCGATATATCGATACTGACGCAAGTATCGAAAGTATCGATACTCAAACAAAAAATATTGATACTAAGGTGTATTTTATTTACCAGTGATTTTGTTAATTTAACAAAAAAATAAAAAATAATGCATACAATATGCATTTAATTGGACGAATAACCTTTGTTAGCGAGTAATTGTGTAGGATAGAACTATTTTCCTGCTCATCTGAACACGCAAATGTTGCAAGACATAACCAATCAATCACAGAAGAGCGTTCACTCACTTCTGACAGTGCATTCAAGCAGGGCTGCGTTACCCAAAAGTATCATAAGAAAGCATTAAAGCTTTTGGGAATGGCAGCCCTGAACAATGCTTATCAGAGGACAGAAGGACAGAGTTATTTCACAATAAACAAACTGAAATTGTAGCCTACATTATTTGTGCAATTACAGTTATTTAAATCGAACGTTGAAAGATAATATTGATCATGTTCTATTCTGTAATGTTAATAGAAATCATACACTGTCAGAATAAAAAGGTTGCATTTTATGCATGCGACTGCCGGTCACTGGCAGTCCCTTATGAAAATGAACCATGGTTTTACTAAAGTGACCATAGTTCAACTGTAGTATTTATAGATTTGAATCATGTGTAAACAAAAAACATATTTGAACCATGTGTAAACAAAAATATAACCTAATAAGTTACAATTAAGGTGTATTGAATGTTAAAATGCGTTTTAAACAAAGTTAAGTGGTTATCAT